GCTGGCTCGGACATTGACAATATTCTCCTCTAATCCATTTGAGGTGTGTGCAGTCGATTCTCCTGCACTAATACTCCTCGAGTCCCACACAGTACTACACCCTGATAGTCTGCTTCGCCAAACCACCCTTCATACCTATTCAACTCTTGCGAATGTAGACAGATTCTCATGCATGTCACGTCTCTTCAATGTCTCTTTGTCATCTGGTCGTCACCTCTTCTCATCTCTTCTCATTTCGTCTCACACTCAGCGTCTTCTCTCAGTGTGTAGATGGTGTTGTTTGTGGAGCCAGTGGGAGTAGATTGTATGGTGTGTGACATGGTGTGACATGAGTGATGTTGTATGTATGATATTATTCGGTGCAGATGTGGAAGGCGAAATTGAGACTAGTCGATGAGTCAGTGTGATAAGCAACAGGTGAGAGTCGATCTGGAGTCGGTTGACTTGTTGATTGATGAAGCGCATTAATGAATGAATGAGTGATTGAGTGAATTTGGTTGATAGTTGTGGTGAAGGTGTTGGCTGTGTGTGTGTGTGTGTGTGTGTGTTTGTGTGTGAGCTGTGCAATCAGTGTGGACTGGTAGTGTTGATGTGATTGATATAGTTGAGTGGAATGGCTTAGGACGGCTGGGCGTGGTGGCGTACGCCTGTAATCTAGCTACTTGGAGGCCAGGGTGCGGAATTTCGCGGGACCGGGAGTTCTGGCATATGGGTGCTCATGTTGATCGGGCGTCCACGCTAAGCACGGCGCCGATATGGATGACCTGTCGGAGGACGGGTTATCCAGGTCGACTAAGGAGGGGCGCACCGGCCCAGGGGGGAAACCCAGCAGGCAAAAGTCCCCGCGTGGTGCGGTAGCGGGATAGCGCCTGTGAATGGTGGCCATGTGACAGCCCGGTCCGCGCGTGGAGACCGCCTCCTCTTTTCACCATACAACCATCAACCACAACCACAAACACTAAACACAATCACACCATTATCACATCACATCACTTCACATTCATCATCGCCTCTTCTTATTACTCACAGGTCAAATGATAACACACACACACACTCACTCACTCACTCATTCATTCAACAACTCAACTAAAAACCAAACCTCAACAATCTCCATTCTCTATGACAACATCATGCAAGCCCGTACAATCATTCCACCACCGACTACCAATCATCATTACACATCAATCCATAAACCACCATCAAAAGGCATTGTCTACTCACTCAATTCACAACAAACACATCACATAAACACACAAACTCATCATCATCATCATCATCACATCATCATCATCATGAATATGGCGAATAAGATCATTTGTCGCCGATTCAACATCGTGAATCACAACTACAACTACAACTACAACACAACCACAACCACACAGATAAATGTACTCACCAGGTAGCACAACACCTCACCTCATCACCACACACGCAAACACACAGACACACAGACATACATGCTGGCTGGCTGGCTGTCAGACACCTAGAAGCTCACTAATTGACAAACTGCCTCTCACTCCACTCCACAATCTCTCACTTCCTGTCACTATCGAACACACCATGCCTGTCTCTCATTTCCACACATTCAAACACAAGCACACATCCACTGCTGTACACACCCCAGCTAGCATCATTTTCGGGCGCACTGCAGATTTTTTGGGGCAAAATCTTCGGGCGCATTGCAGAACCTGGGACATTGGCCCTAAGTCTGCCCCAAAAAGTTAGCTGTCATTCCTTGATGAAGTACATATGGATTACTCCCATTGGTTGATTTTGAGCCAATCACCGCTCACACAAAGGCCTCAAAAATCTGCAATGAGCCCGAAGTCTGCCCCAAAGTCTGCAATGAGCCCGAAGTCTGCCCCAAAATGTCTGCAATGCGCCCGAAGTCTGCCCCAAAATGTCTGCAATGAGCCCGAAATCGTTGCTGGCTCGGACATTGACAATATTCTCCTCTAATCCATTTGAGGTGTGTGCAGTCGATTCTCCTGCACTAATACTCCTCGAGTCCCACACAGTACTACACCCTGATAGTCTGCTTCGCCAAACCACCCTTCATACCTATTCAACTCTTGCGAATGTAGACAGATTCTCATGCATGTCACGTCTCTTCAATGTCTCTTTGTCATCTGGTCGTCACCTCTTCTCATCTCTTCTCATTTCGTCTCACACTCAGCGTCTTCTCTCAGTGTGTAGATGGTGTTGTTTGTGGAGCCAGTGGGAGTAGATTGTATGGTGTGTGACATGGTGTGACATGAGTGATGTTGTATGTATGATATTATTCGGTGCAGATGTGGAAGGCGAAATTGAGACTAGTCGATGAGTCAGTGTGATAAGCAAGAGGTGAGAGTCGATCTGGAGTCGGTTGACTTGTTGATTGATGAAGCGCATTAATGAATGAATGAGTGATTGAGTGAATTTGGTTGATAGTTGTGGTGAAGGTGTTGGCTGTGTGTGTGTGTGTTTGTGTGTGAGCTGTGCAATCAGTGTGGACTGGTAGTGTTGATGTGATTGATATAGTTGAGTGGAATGGCTTCGGACGGCTGGGCGTGGTGGCGTACGCCTGTAATCTAGCTACTTGGAGGCCAGGGTGCGGAATTTCGCGGGACCGGGAGTTCTGGCATATGGGTGCTCATGTTGATCGGGCGTCCACGCTAAGCACGGCGCCGATATGGATGACCTGTCGGAGGACGGGTTGTCCAGGTCGACTAAGGAGGGGCGCACCGGCCCAGAGGGGAAACCCAGCAGGCAAAAGTCCCCGCGTGGTGCGGTAGCGGGATAGCGCCTGTGAATGGTGGCCATGTGACAGCCCGGTCCGCGCGTGGAGACCGCCTCCTCTTTTCACCATACAACCATCAACCACAAACACAAACACTAAACACAATCACACCATTATCACATCACATCACTTCACATTCATCATCGCCTCTTCTTATTACTCACAGGTCAAATGATAACACACACACTCACTCACTCACTCACTCATTCATTCAACAACTCAACTAAAAACCAAACCTCAACAATCTCCATTCTCTATGACAACATCATGCAAGCCCGTACAATCATTCCACCACCGACCACCAATCATCATTACACATCAATCCATAAACCACCATCAAAAGGCATTGTCTACTCACTCAATTCACAACAAACACATCACATAAACACACAAACTCATCATCATCATCATCATCATCATCATCATCATTATGAATATGGCGAATAAGATCATTTGTCGCCGATTCAACATCGTGAATCACAACTACAACTACAACGACAACCACACAGATAAATGTACTCACCAGGTAGCACAACACCTCACCTCACCTCATCACCACACACGCAAACACACAGACATAAATGCTGGCTGGCTGGCTGTCAGACACCTAGAAGCCCACTAATTGACAAACTGCCTCTCACTCCACTCCACAGTTTCTCACTTCCTGTCACTATCGAACACACCATGCCTGTCTCTCATTCCCACACATTCAAACACAAGCACACATCCACTGTTGTACACACCCCAGCTAGCATCATTTTCGGGCGCACTGCAGATTTTTTGGGGCAAAATCTTCGGGCGCATTGCAGAACCTGGGACATTGGCCCTAAGTCTGCCCCAAAAAGTTAGCTGTCATTCCTTGATGAAGTACATATGCATTACTCCCATTGGTTGATTTTGAGCCAATCACCGCTCCCACAAAGGCCTCAAAAAATCTGCAATGAGCCCGAAGTCTGCCCCAAAATGTCTGCAATGAGCCCGAAGTCTGCCCCAAAATGTCTGCAATGCGCCCGAAGTCTGCCCCAAAATGTCTGCAATGAGCCCGAAATCGTTGCTGGCTCGGACATTGACAATATTCTCCTCTAATCCATTTGAGGTGTGTGCAGTCGATTCTCCTGCACTAATACTCCTCGAGTCCCACACACTACTACACCCTGATAGTCTGCTTCGCCAAACCACCCTTCATACCTATTCAACTCTTGCGAATGTACACATATTCTCATGGATGTGAAGTTGCTTCAATTTCTTCAATTCTTTAGCTCCCTACTATATGTAATGTGGCTGGCCGTTGTGGTGGGTCACAAGTAACTCTAGCATTTAGCAAACTATCCAAAATCCTACCACTCAAATTATAATGGGAATGAATGGAATCTGATTGGTCATAATTTGTGAAGACTTTCGAGTTACTTGACATGACAAAAATTCATGTAGAACCCGAACAGGATACACCAAGCGTGACATCTGAGGGTGATTCGTTAAAGATTGTGTGGGGGAATGAAAGTTCACAAGCAATCCTGGAGCCAACTATACACGACTACACATAACAGAGTGAAATTAATGTGTTCTGCTGAAGCCCGATGTTCCACTCGGAAACCGAAGGAAATAATAACAATGCTTTGGACATACATACTTCAGACATGGGTTTCATTTTCTTCTGACAGATTTATAAATTTAGTTTACAACTTCGACACCTTTACAACATCTGCTTCAAATTCACTATTTATTCCCCCGGAATAAAAAATAATTCTAGGTGTTCAAACTTCAGGTTAAAAAACAGACACCAGTGTTAACTGAAGGACAAGGAAATAGTAAATTGTTAACTATCTACTCAGGAAATATACTACAACACAACTAAAATGGTAGGAAATATTTCATATTAAAGGAACAATAATAATCATTCTGGTTATATTAATTTAGTAACGAAAGGGGTGTAGTGTGATGAACAGTTTACTAAATTAATAATATTAATCCCTATAGTAGGATAATAATGAAGGAGAGTGGATGAAATTTAAGACCAGAATAAAGATAACCAATTATGCGCTTATTTAAACAAATTAATTAGCCAATAGGAGAACAATCCAAGTTAATTCACTTAATAGACAGTATGAAAATTACCTCAATCCCAATGGAAATTATATCACGGATGGAATGGAAAAGTTGAAAACCACCTCTAACCTCTAAATAGGTAGAAAAGTAGAATTCTAAAGAGATAAAACACACAGGGCAAACATACAATCAAACAAATAAACAATATCCTTCTATTTTGCATATTTATTATTCTGAATTTATCAAGTCAGAGGTAGTAAATTCCCTCTTATAATAATAAAGATAATAATTTACTAAACAGTAGTTGTTCATACAAGTTTGAAACAATGTCTGGATTTACAGTTGCAGATTTAATTAAACCAAACCTAGAGTCAGTGATGATGAATTCCTCTCAAGTTATTCAGTCAAATAAAGATCCGAGAACAACGAATATTGGTGAAGATGATGACATTGAAGGCATGAATGCAAAGAAGGAGAAAAATACTAAAAATGATATTCACGCTGCATCAAATTCTCTTCAAACTCCCAAAGATCAACATCGAATAGGTTCAGAGGAAAATGATGCGTTGAAGAAAAGTACTAGTGAGAATAAATGCGTAATTACTTCATGTAGTTCGACTACTGTCAGTACAGATTTGGAGTCAGCAACTGTTCCCAGTTTTTTATCACCCACTGCAAACATAAATACTATAAGTAATCAAAAGGCTTCATTACTTTCTTCTCCAATTCTTTCCAATTATGTTAATGACATTAAACTTCGACCATTGATTCAGGCTTATTCAGAGCCTTCTTTACTTGCTCCATCTTTCCAGAATGCCTCTTCTTCTTCTTCGTCTGATGTTACTTTTATTCCAACTATTATCTCAGCATCATCGCCATTTTCTTCGTCTCCACCGCCTTCACTTTCACTTTCAAATAACTGTACACCAGTGGAATCTCAATATAGTATTACTAACAGTAATACAGAAGAACAATTACAAATTTTATTAAAGTTACATAATTTATTCGGTATAAATATTACAGAGAAATCAAATTTAAACGAAATGAACTCAATAAATTTCAATCAAATCAACAATAATAATTTCAGTAAACACTTATCACCTAATAATACTATATCAAATACTAAAACAAGCTTACTTCATTTAAATGATCTCAATAATTCAATTACAAATATAAATCCTGAGATAATTTCACCTTTTAACTCACCATATATGATGTCTGTTATGATGAATAGTATGCTGAACAAAGAACAATCTGAACAGTTTTGCCTACCACCTGCGGTACCTCTTCAGCAGCAGCAGCAACAACAACAGCCATTTTCTCATCGGCTCAATCATCACCAAGAGCCACGACAAAATTTTCCATGTCAACAACCAGCAGTTGATGTTAATTCACAGATGAATTTGGCAACTCAAAGCCAACTGATAGCAAACTTTTTGAAGTCACGTCTATTATGGGATAATAATAATAATAATGGTAATAATGTTAATACTATCAATAATAACAATAATGGTGGAAAAACGATCTTTCAAGATATCAGTGAATTGGTCAAACTTGACAATACTAACTTACCGCTAAATTGTTATGGTGAGTGAACAACTATAATTTACTGTGATATATATATATATTTACTGGCTTCTCCATTTTCCTTTCAAATCTCTGAAAGGAACTGAGTTTTCCAAAGGTTGTGGGTAATTCTTATTAATCAGTATCAACGAACCACAAAATACTGAGTTGGCAACATCCATGTATGTACCATCAGTTTACTTGCTCCCGTGGAGCTAAGTACACAAGCCGTACCCGCAGGATATTATCTATATGTGCACAGCAACACCTTCCAATATGGTTACCAAAAGGGGAAATTAAACGAACCAATAGCTCAATTCTTGGGCATCTCATCCTTACAAATCATTCTGTATCGATTGAGAAATCTTCTAAAGTGATATATGAGGAAGGGCCAAGTTGTATGAAGGATTTCAGGTTAAATCTCCTGTCCATAGCCGAAGCTGTTGCTATACACAAGGAAAGCCCTGAAGTGTGTATATGGAAGCGGTTTGTCCAATCCCCTTTCTAATCTGGCCTTAAGCTTTTTTTTGACTTGTACTACGATTCGGTATGCAATCCACTTTCATTCGTTTGTTTTTTCTTCTTTCCCTTCAAATTCCTAACTTTAAAATGTAGTTCATGTATACTCCGAATCTTTTACTCTTGTAAACAGCGTTCCCGTTACAAAGCGCTTGCCATTTTAATGATAATTATTTCTGGGTGATATCTATTGCTTAGTTTTTTTTTTGGCTGCGTAAGAATGCTTAACCAAGTTTCTCAATTTATCCATTTTTTCTTCCCAAAGGGCAGTTTACACATGTTTTGTCGCCAACTAATATTGATAACTGACCTTCATAGGCGTTTCCATGATCTTTTAGAACACTATATAATTGTACAGCTTGGAGAGAAGTTACAAGAAGAATATGTCGTTTTAAAATACTTTACTTGACCAGCTTTTGCCAAACGCAGAAAATCACAATGTGGTTTAATTCAGTTTATCCATCAGATTGCACACTTGATGGAAAAATTTTGATAAGATCTCAGAGTTATTATCTGTGTTGGTCATCAATATACAATGATAAGATTACCCACTGATCCTCACTGATGATCATATTGGATCCTGTAAGTTAATTACCAAGCCAAGAAGTAGTTTTTAACATGGTGCACTATGATTATTCCTAAATTCTGGAAAGTGATTACCAACATTGGTCTAATCATATGCTGTGTCGGCTGATAATGACTCTCAAGGCTAGCTCAGATATAGTTTCCCTTAAAATTCTACCTTGATTCTTTCTTCAACTGAAATATTTATCGGTGGATGGTGACCAGCAGGGGAATGCAGGATGGACATTTCGTCCTATTTGGGGCTCGTCATCTGGATGTACTTGCATTCCGCAGAGAGTGATGATGTTCCCACCGGGGCTCGAACTCAGTGCCCATGACATCGTCGAAGCATCTGCACAACAAGCCGACATGTCAACCTGAGACCGAGCACTTCGGGCCAATCAATCGACGGGAAAATCTAAAATTCAATTAAATGAAATATTTATCGTTTAAAGAAACCAACCACTGGAAAGTGATCAGTACAGTGCTGTTTGGTCTTAAGTTCTATCTAAACCCTACCAGTTAGATTTGTAATTCATATGTTATTTTTATATATTTGGTTTGATGTTAGGCGCTTCAAAGTAGTCGACAGTGAGATTTTGACTAGGTTATGTTTTGGTTTCGGGATGCATTAACAACATTTAAGAAATATCTTCTCACCAGGAGCTGCAGCTTTTGCTACACTTCACAGCGGGTTAAATGAAATATGACATGATTAAGGTTTTCTTGATTTGAGGACCCAATTTATGGTAACCAACAGACACTTGATATTTCAAGGCATTATACTGGAAACTGACTTTTTCGTCCTCAGTTCATCTAATTGAGTCTATAGGTGGCCATATATCAGTGATAATGTCGGCGACTACTGTATTAGGGGATTCTGCTTACGGCCATTACGTGGGTATCTGTTATCACAAAGTCGCGAACACACCTTTCTAACGAGTGCTAGTCAGAAGGAAACCTAGTTCTAGATTATCCTCTTGATTGTCTCCAAACATTTAGCATTTACTATACAAGGATACTATGCCTTTTCAAACCCAGCTACTGTAATAAAAATAATTAGGCTTTGGTGTCAAAGCATAATATTCACATTAAAATATCATAAAACACTTTGGGATTTATAATCCAAATTTCTAAGGTTTTTTTTTGAATAAATTTTGTTCAAAAATTTATTTTCTGGTGATAACTAGCGAATTAATTAATTAATTGATCAATTAAATGGTTATATGGAAGTTAAGTGAATTCACCTTCAAAGTTCACTCCCTTAGAAACTATTCATTCTAAATCCCTTTTTCTTAACGTCCTTTTTGACTTCATTACTAATTCATGAGTATTGATAGCTGGATTTAGTATTTTAAAGGTAGACCGGATATGGGAATATAACTATTAAGTTTGAAAATATTCGTCAAACTATTGTAAGATAAAAGCTCTTGGGTAAATTAATTACAATTATATTTCAGTCGGTTAATCTTGGGTACTATGGCAGAATGTAAAATCATATATTTATCCATGTTTATTTTCTAAGGCACACAGTGATACACTGCTGTAAAGTGGATAATATTTTGGGCACAAAATGCACTACCCATAATCATATAAAGATAGCCAAACAACTACCAGTCTTTGGTTTCCTCAGATCATTTATTCCCTATCCTTCGATTTTACTGATAAAAATGTTTAGGTATCTTCCATGTTGGCCATTAGTACTGTAGCTCTGTGTGACTTGATCATATGGCTGTTTTACAGTATGCATAAAGATAGTTGCATCTTCTCCCGGGATCAAATATCTTGCTGGAGTCTGTCACATTACAAATTCAGCTAAACTGCTATACCCTGATGATTTCACTTGACTGATTTGACCTGTGTACCTGACCACATAGTCGTTATATGGTATTTAATAAAAATCAAGACTGTTTTATTCCAGGGTTAACAGAATTCTTATTGTTACGAAGCTTGTCATGCAGTGGATTTCGTGATTGCAATCCAAATTTAATCTGAGTTTTGTGGAGAACATTACTATGGATATTTAATTGAATTTTAGATTTTCCCATCGATTGATTGGACCGAAGTGCTCGGTCTCGGCTTCTTGTGTACAGTTTTGACGGGTCCCAAATAGGATGAAATGCGCATCCTGGATTCCACTGCTAGTCACCATCCACCAATTAAATTACTATGGATAGTTTGATGCCTTTTGCATATATGGTAATACTATGGAAAATCTTCCAAGGGTGACTTGGAGGAGGTCATGTGAAGAGGAGATGAAAGCATGTGGGCAAACTTGGAGCCAGGTGAAAACGTTGGCAGAGAACCGAACGCAATGGAGACGTGCGGCTGAAGCCCTATTTTCCTCTAGGAATTAAAGGAAATTTTAATAATAATGGAAAGTCTGAGTTTCTTATCGGTTGCGTAACTGTTACTTTTTATCAGTATTTCTTTTATCTCAATATACTTGGTCGGATTTCTGAAGAAATTTAAGGGTATCATTAAGTATTATCAATGTTTCATATTACGATTTTTATTCTTTAACGCAAATTATTTTAAGTGAGGTGGGGTCATGTCGGAATGTATCCGTCTTGTCCAACCACTATACAGGCTACCATCTTATTTCTACCCGGTGTGCCAGTACTGTTTCCCTTATCCGTTTTTGATACAATAATAAAAATGAAATATTCATAGTAAAAGCAATTGAAATTAACAACTTATAAGAAAGATTTTTGTGCGGACTATACTTATTATTACAAGTTGATTCTTCTACTTCTATTGTATTTTAACATTAGCTGTTTGTTTAAAATGCCCGTTCGTTATTACTTTCTCACATTTGAACTATGTTGTATTGTAATGACTAGTCCTCTATTTTTAAAAAAGATTTTTTTTATTCCTTTACGTTCCCAGCGGAACATAAGGCTCCAAGCTAGAGGTTTAAAGTTTCGCTAGCAGTGGTGTTTATTTTCACGGGACGGGATTGCTAGCCTCATGTCCAACCTACCCTTTTTACCAGTCTTTTTATTGACTTAATGAGGTTTGGGGGTGCATCGGACTGGGATCGAACCTCAAGCCACATGCATGGTTGGTGAGCATTCTACCGCTGTGCCACCAAAGCACACGATCAATATTCTAAACCAGTATTATTTAAACGACTTTATCATTAAGAAAGTCTTTACTTCTATTTATTAAAATCTCAGAATTTTGGAAACTTTTATTTGCGAAAATAAACATCTGAAAATGAGCTTAAGGATAAATATGTTCCCGAATAAAATACCATTCTGCAAAAAATAACTTATTATAACATTTACGATTTACGATAAAACAATAATTAATTATGTCGAAGTAATGCAGCCTTAATTTCAAAGTGTCGGGTTGTACGGATTAGATCGATTTCATGACAGATTTAGTCGTGAACCAATAACTACTAGAGAACCATTAAAAAGCAGGTAGCACTGGACAGGTGTTTTGTCCTAGTCTGGAACTGTAGCAGTGCGGGCCCACAAAACAACCGAGTTAGAACCTAGGGACTTCTGAATTCCAGGTTCCGTCAATTCGCGATTTAGGGCAACCGCCATTAAGTGCTATCGACAAGCACCTGTCCTGGCATCCGATATGATAGAACCCATTGGGTACGATTTCTCACTAGAACTCCAGGAATTCCATGCTGTGGTCAGTTACTAATAAGCAAGAAATTAATTTTCAAGTGATGGGTTGTAGGGATTGGGTTGATTTTAAGTTAGTTTTCGTCATGAAATCTCCTATGTAGTACAATCTTAGCTAAGTCTTATGTTATGCCCAACTTCATACCTTGCCATGCCCACTTTCAAGACTAATCTACCAAAATTCAACTATACAGTTATCTGATAAATATTAAGATATAATGAATAGATTTTACATGAAGACTGTTTTATGACAGCTTCAAGTATTTCACGAGTTGATCACGGATTGATATCAGT